ATTAACTTGTATCAACTTGAATATGAAATTAGTCACAATTGTTATTACTATAACATATAATAATATTATAAATAAAATAATAATAATAATAAAATCTGATATCCATATTACAACCAAAAAACAGAATTTGTGTGAGTTTTTTAATCTAATAACTATTTATTAGAAAATTTTGCAAATTCTGTTCACATGGTTGACACAAATTTTGTTATTGCATGTTTCTGAAAATTCAATTTAGAGACAACATTCATGCAATAAATTGCATTTAATGTAAGATATGCATGAATCTGCCATTTTTGAATTAGAAAATCAGTGCGATATAGGATCTTATTATTATAAATTCTGTGAATTCACATGCTATTATTGTAATTAATATATGAAATTCACAGAACTCATTAAAAATAAACTTCTATTTTATTTGTACCCATTAAATTATATCAACTTATCTGATATTTAGATTCGCTACACGAATTTAAATCAGGTTTGCACAACTATTCAGACCGGTTAAATATCAAATCGATTATATTAGTAAAATTAGATATAAAAGCTATATAAAAAATAAAAATAAGTATTAGTATTAAATTATCTCTAAAGTGTTTTTTTAAAAAAAATAACATTAAGATTAAAATAATCAAATGTCTCAAACTTATTCTTATAGATTAACAAAATATGTTCACGTTCAGGATAAATTAGGTCCAAATCAAACGGCTAAGCGTGCTATATGCAAAGCTTGTGAAAGCCATAAACATATCTTTGAGAAGAGAAAAAATGAAAGCCTTGAACTGTGGGAAGTATATGAAAAATGGTGATTTTTTAATAGGTGGGATCGTGTACAACAACACTGAAAGCACTGCCCATATTGGCATGAGTATTGGATCAATGAAGATCAAGAATTAATGATGTATGAACACTATGATAAAAGTATGGTGCATACTGCTGTTAGATCATTGAGACAAGCAAGAGAACAAAATAATATAGCCATATCTATTATTTCATCAGATTCTAGAGTTTCAAGTAATAATACACGAATGTCAGAAGCTTCCTCAATTCTATCACGTGCAAGTGAAATTATATATTCTAAGAAAAAAAAAATAAATTATTCACTTGATGCATACGTTACTCGCCCTTATCAACTAGCCAAAAGCATGAATTTAATCGTCGTCTCCTACGCTTGGTGGTTCAAAATAGGCTCTCATTTCGATTTATCGAATGTACTATGCTTCGTCAATTTGTTGATTTCTTTAACCCAACTGTTAAAATTCCAAGCCGCAGAACACTAAGCACTAAAATTCTTGTAAGTATGCAGAAAAATTAGAAAAAGCCAAAGTTTCTATTCTCTCTGAATCACAAGAACCAGTTACAATTATGTTTGACAGTTGGAAGAATGTGCGTTGTCAAGAAATTCTGGGTGCCGTTATTCTCTCTGTATCAAATCAGCTATATATATGGGGTGCTGAAGTTATTAGCAATTGTAGCCAAAAAACTTCTGATGTATTAAATACAATTCATACTTTTTTTGAGCGTGCCAATGATCAGAATCTTAACGTAGTAGCCATGGTTATAGATAGTGCATCAGCATATGCCTTTGCACGGTATGTATATATTGTAAAATAAAAAAAAAGTTAATATTGTATTATAAAGTAATATAACCATTTATTTACCAGGCGCAAAATACAATTACAAAAATATGACATTGTCTTTCTCCCATGCTTTGCACACCAGGCCAACCTGTGTGTTGGTAATATCTTTAAAATTTCAACTGAATATAGTCAAGCAATAAAGAATGCCATTGGAATCGCATCATATTTTACTGATAAATGGCATTCAAATGCAATATCATTACTTCGTGATGAGCAGCAGAGAGTTTACAAAACCATATACAGTATAACCTCGATATAACGAACCTCAATATACCGAATTTGGTATTATAGCGAAGATTTTTTTTAGCTAAAAT